TAATATGTCCCCCCGCCAAAAGGCCCTCATTTTTCCAAATTGTTGCAGTTATCGCTGTGGGTTTAAATCTATTGTTTTGTTTTGTAAGAATGAGTTCTGCCAGATCAGCTCCTTCACAGAGCCCCTGTGTCCATTTAACTCCAGCTGGCTTTAATTAGAGTAAAATAAAAATGTATTTGATCTTTTTTTGAAAGTGTTTGCTCACTCTCTCTCTCTCTGGAATACAAAAATAAATAAAATAAAACCCTACACTGTGGTAGCTGTATCCTTCTCCCCCTGCCCTAGGATAACTGAGTTACTTAAGTTGAAACTACTTTTCTAACATCTGGATGTTTTTTCTTTAGGCTTCCGCATTAATTACATTCTGTTCTACCACTTAACATACTGCATCAGAAATATCTATGTATTTCTTGACTTTTAAAGAAAAACATATTTTTATTCATTTGAAACTTTTTACTTCAGGTGGGTAGGCAACTTGCAGACTTGTCTTACAGAAACAAAACATGCTGCAACTTGGACAATTCAAGGAGCAAATGTCGATTGCCTTGCTCTGCATTAGTTCCACAGTTCCACTGTAAAAAGTAGGTAATTTCACAGTATTTAAAAAGAAAATCGAAGTAGCTTTGGATCAAAAACTAGACATTACTGTGCAGAAAAAAACCAAGAAACAATGTGATTCAGTGCAATCCTTACAGAGTGTCCTTGGCTTGGCCTTGAGGGTCTTTGTACTATCACAATTTCCAGTTTTTGTTGGTTTTTTTTTTTTTAATCTTAAAAATTGAACTAATTGCAAGGAAATTAATAGCACTGATTGGGCTAGTTTGTGACCTAAGCTCATGACATGTAAAAGCTACACCACAAGTGCATAAAGGAGAACACACAAAGCACCAATTCAGCAGCTTGCTTACCTTTCACTTGACCCAGCAGATGTGTTTATTAGTAACACTAGAGGCAAAACTTACTTGGAAAACAGTTTATGCCGGACACTTGGTAAACTCAAATTTTAATCAACAACACTGCTGCATATTTTTCTGCAGACTGTAGCCTGCACCACCACCAAGCTAGAGCTGTGTGGACACTCAAACTAGACAAAGTCTCTTCCTGGAACTATTCAACAACAACAGCAAAAAATAAAAGCCATCTTGACGTTGATCGATTCTCTGGAGGAGCAATTACTACTTAACAGGCTTCCTGAGCAGCTTGATTATGTTCTGTTTCTGTCTAAGGCCTTGCTGACCATGCGGGTAATAATTTGATAACAAGAGAGCCTAATTAAATTAAGGGGCCATTTTCTACATCATAATATCTTTGTAGATAAGAGATTTGATTTGCAGTACATACTCTTCCTTCTCTCTGCTGTCTGTATTTGTCTGGTTTACAAGCAAAAAAAGAAAACATTACGCAACCTCCACCCCAAAAGACTTTCACTTTTCACGTAACATTATCAGAAAGCAGTTTTGCTAAAAATAAACATACAGCTTACCTCCCTCCTCCCCCTGTGCTGCAAAAGAGTTGTAGCGCTCGCTCTCTAAAAGGTAGGGATGACTTCTTAGGTGTGCAAGGGTGAAGCTAGTGAGCAGTGAACTAGTGACAGTGCAGCAAGTATTAGGCTGTCTTCAGCACTCGCTCTCTTTTGATAAAAAAAGCCCAACTCAGCCCACACAGTTCCACCCTGTAATGTGCTGCTGCTCTGGGACGATCCCCAGCCATATGTGAGCATCCTCCTCCCTGAGTGGCCCACAGAAGCACAGGGGGCTCAGAGAATGGAGCAAGTGGCACAACAGCCTTCCAGCTAACTGCAGAATCAAAAGTGTAAGATAGCACAATGCTTTGTTAGAGCAAAAACCCCTCACATTTAAATAAATGCAGGTTTTGACATGGTAACAGTAAGCCATGGTGCTTAAAATCACAAAATACTGTTGACAAAAGCATGCTGGGGAAGAGAAGCTATTTGGCATGCTCTGTACTGCCATGCTGCACAGAGCGCAAAGGCGCTATGTCATATAATAACTGGTCCTGACCACACCTAGTGCATTAGTCCTTCTGTAGGCTGCAAACACAACCTCATTACTCCTGGCTCCCGGAGGAGCAGATCAGAAGGGGATCAAACTACAGCACAAACCATTTAGAAGCCAGAAATTCAAGGGACAGCTGCAGAACAAAACTAGAGAGATACAGGAACTTTACGAAGTAGAGCCCATCATCTACCTGGGTAAGCCATTTATTTCTTTATCAACATCTTTTTAGATAATCAGAAATCATGTAAAGCCTATAGATAGATAGAAAACTTCAACGCTTTGAACAACTGGGAAACTGTGGCTGGTTTTAAAATGCAATAGCTCCTATAATGTATACTTGTGCCTGAGCTTAGTATTAAATGACTGAACTCTTTAATAAGACCAAAAAGTGAACTCTTTATCACAAGAGCACTTTAAAAAAATATTCTAAGTGGCAGGATGGGAATTCAGTTTACTTTGGCTGGCTTTAGACTGTTTAGAAGATAAATAATCCTTTTAGGTTAGCTTTATCTTAAGTCTGGTTTTATATTCCCTTTATGTGTTTGACCAAGAGTGTGGATATTTTTGATCAGGCACAGTTATGATCAAAATTAACAAGAACATGTAAATTGGAGAGAATTTTTTAGATGGGTCTTCACAGCTTTAAGTCTAAGGAGCCAACAACTTTTGTGAAAGAGTTCAGATTTTATATTAAACTAACAAATGAGCAATCATTTCTAAAGTCATGTGTAAGTATGACTTTAAAATACAGCTAGATGATGAATTCTAAAGCATCTTATCCCGTGTCTCCCATTTAAAGGTTTTTTTTAACATGAGATATAAATATTTGCCTGTGCAAACTTGTATTTAAGCCCCAGTTTTCATCATTCTTAAACAAAAGGCTCAGTTTGTGCCAGTATCTCCATTAGATGCAATTATATCATTAAATATTAATGGTGGCTTCCTTGGAGGAATTGACCACTTTGATCAGAACACACTGTTGGTAATGCACCATCAGCAACCGCTCTGAACATGAAGCCTCCTGGATGCACAGCCACTGACACAGGGGGAAAGATACCAGGAGGCAGCTGGACTCTGTAATGGCCTCTGGCCCTTACCAACATGGCAGTGTCCACTGCCTGTGTGTCTATATTGTAATTTGCTTAGTTACCAGTCCTAATGTGGAGGCTTTGATCAGATCCCAAACTCTTTTTCAACACTAGGCAGCTCAGCAACCCAGTACAGGACTCTGAACAAGCACACACAAGTCCAACCTGACACTAACCTTCTTAGAAGGATGGGTGGCCTTTAACCCTCCTGAACCCAGCCATTTCTCCGAACGGCAGAGCCACCCCATCGGCTCTGCAGCCTCCTTGCTCAGAAAGACTCACTCTGTCCCTTTGCTTACAGACAGGGGAGGAGCACGGCAGCAGTTCCAAAGACCCTACCTGCCGCTGCGCCGGGGAGAACCATGCCGGACTCCTTCGCCGTCCATTTCCTCAAGGTGCTGAAGGAGCTGCTGGCCTTCGTGCTGTTCAGTTACACCGTGCTGGTCGGGGCGCTGCTGCTCGCCGGCTGGACGACGTACTTCTTGGTGCTTAAATGAGAGCTTCTCTTCTGCTCCTGCAGCCACGGGCTGGCCAGAGGCAACAGGCTCCACCGTGCAGCTCGTCCTGCATGTCTGCTCAGCACACAGGATTGTGGTGCCTTCCTCCTGCGCCAATTCTGCAAGCGTTTTGTTTCATTACTGCCTAATCACAATCTTATTTTCATATGTAAAAAGAATAAGTATTAAAAAAAAAAGTATCTACACATGCACTTTACCCATCTTTGTGGCAATCTTGCAGATTCTTTGTGTCTTCTAGACATTTGCCCCTGTTCCCCAAAGTATTTAAAAGCCTCCCAGCAGTTCTCCTGAGATTCCCACCCCATGCGCCATCTCAAGAGCACAGCAGTCTGCCGAGCACAGCGGAGGGACGGGAGGGATGCGACACAATTCAAACATGACCAGCATCTCGAGTAAACAAGTCCTGCCTTGTCTAACTCTGCCTCATTAAAGGTGTGAAGGCAGAGATACAGAAATTACTTGTAATGTGGTTTTTTTTTAAAGTCTTGGGAAAACACATTTCAAATCAGCACAAGGTTTCCCTCTTCCTATGGTTTTATGAGGTACACTTCATGGGGTGGGGGCATCAACACCACATTATCTACAGGCCTATTATTTGGCACTCTCAAGTGTGCAATGCTTTTCAACAAATGCTTAAAACATGGAGTTAGCTGAAAGATGTGCCTGCAATACAGCGCTGCCTCACTGGAAGTAAACTGTGCTGAGTAAACTGAGCCTCACAGGACAGGAATTGCTGCTGTAAATAAAAAGAATAGATTTAATTGATCCAGGCCTTTCATGTAGAACTATACAGAAAACCTTTGCTGTAAAAGCTAGGGATTGTCACTAGTGCAAAACTAGCCAAAAGCTAAGCAACATCATATACTCTTGAAAAACAAAGATGAATTAAACCGGGAAGGTGGGGAGCAGAACCTGTGGCAGTCAGTCAGTGCGATCCCAGCTAACAGTTCTGCTGATGACCTGACACACAGCTGAAGGCTGTTCTCTGCTGAGCCGGGCTGGCCTGCCAGGTGTCTCTGAGCAGAGTAACACAGAGGAAGTAGCCAAGCGCAGCCTGAGCTGAGACCTCCTAACGCCATTTCTGCTTCAACAGGTCCGTGATGGTGTGTCTGGGGACGAGTGCTCTTACCTGAAGGGCAGAGCAGCCGCTGGGACAGCCCGGGGCGGCGGGAGCAGCGGACCCCGCAGCCGGAGGGGACGGCCGCCCACCTCAAGCTCCCGCCGCCCTCACAGCCCCGCGCGCGCCGCTCCCGCCTTCGACCCAACGGCCGCCGGCCCCACGTGCGCGCCCTCTGCGCATGCGCCAGGCCGGGAACCCAACCCCGCCCGCTCCGCTACACCTCCTCCCCCCACGCACGCGACGCGCTGACGTCACTTCCTGCGTCCCGTCCAGTCGGAAGATGGCTGCTGGCAGCCGGTGGCTCCGGAGCTGCTGCTCCCTCCTCAGGTACCACGGCCGGCCCCGCCGCTCCGGGTCCCGAGGGCGCGGCGGGGGCGGCGGCGGCGGCGGCATTTAAGTGGAGCCGCGCTCGCCGTTCACCGGGGCTGGAGCGGGCCGGGCGCGGCCGACGGGGCTGAAGTCAGCCTCTCGGGTCGGTCCCCAGCCGCTTTGTTTGCCCGATATTATCAAGACAGCTGCGGCTGGAGCGGCGGCCTGGGTCACAGAAAGGGCCATAACGCACCTCATCCGCCTCCAGATGCCACGGCACAGCTGGAATAGCACACGCAGTAGGAGCTGTGGTACCCGTCCAGGGCTTGCCGCTGGTGGTCTGTAGTTTAAGAGTACACAGCGTAAAAGAAGGAAAGCCGGCCGGTTATTTTCAGAAAATTGCTGTACAACAAAAAAATTCTCATGACTGGTGCTTCTGTTTTTCTGCTCCATTATTTTGGTGATCCCAGGGACACTTACACAACACTGGATGTAAATAAAACTGACTGCAGATGGCCCGAAGTGTCACTGGATCGCAGCAAGCTATTTACCAGTCATATTGCTCAGCTGCATGTACCATATACCACTTTTCAGCTTGCTTTTTAATTTGTTCTTCAATATTATTGAATATTAGCAGTGTGTTGGTACCAGATGAGATACATTTCCTCTCTCAAAGGATTAATAATGCACTAGTTACTGTGCCTGTCTTTTTTTCTTGCACTTAAGTAATATATAACAGAATTTAAACCAAACTTACTCATTCTCTATTACGCAGCTGCCTTACAGAAGCTTGGTAGAGACTAGGTCACATAGAACAGCTTCTAGGTGTTCTTTTCCTCTGATACCCATTTCCCACCACACACTGATTAGTTCTTGCACTTAACTTTGTTTCTTGCATTTCCAGACAAAACTTCCCTGTTCTAGCCAATATTAGGAGACACTGCCTCCCAGGAGTGAACGGACGATGGCACCAAATGGTGGGCGTGGGGCTGGGAGTGGCCTTGTGTGCAGTTCCAGTTGTGGAGGTAATGTATCAGGAGTGAGATACATACAGCACTGCTTGTTAGAAACAGTTTACTATTCAAAAATACTTGCTTAACATTTTACAAACTAGAACTTGCCCTCAGAATTGTATTCCTTCTTGGGGATCACAGGTGTTTAAGCTACATAGTTGTTAAGGAAGAGAAATGAGAAGGACAATGTTTGCCTTCTATAACACCTTGCAGAAACAGTTGCCTTGTTTTACAGTGGCAAAACAGCAGTGAGGATTAGGCTGTCCAATCTGGTAACTAACAGTGGTGCTTTTCCTTACCGTTATTTGTTACTAATAACATCCGTATGAAAGTCAGTGTAAACATCACACAAATGTCCTGTCTTTCAGAAACAGAACTCCATTTCTCTCAGTAACGATGCCTTGATTAAAAGAGCAGTTTCCTTGGTAACAGACAGTACTTCTACACTCCTCTCCCAAACAACATATGCATTGATTGAAGCAATGACAGAATATACAAAGGTAAATTGAGAGATTACACGCTTTGCTAGCAAGTCAATACTGGAAATACTAAATTATTTGGCACTAACTACACCTGTTAAACCATATTTAAAATGGACTTTGGTTTTTTTATGAGTTTTAGTAAAAGATGTTTGGGGGTTTGAAAGTGTCAGGTCCCTAGGAAACAGTGCAGCAGGGCTCACTGTTCTACTACATTGAACATGGAAGTTATTTTTAGCTTTATTAGACTGTTGCTTTGAGCTTGAACTTAAGCCAAAATGACCCACGTCCCAGAACTGGGGCTAAAGAAACTTGGAGCAGTTATTGGATACCTGCCTCCTAAGTAAGTAGGATATGCCACCCTGTGTTCTTAGGTATTTTATTTACCTTCTGTGCCCATTTCTAGGGTCATGAACTTGAGTTTCATGAGAAGAATGGCATGAGCCATATTTAAGTCTGAAACAAAAACAACAAGACACAGTTTTAATTTTATAAGAGAGTGCCAATTTGAGTAAAGTATTGGCATTCCAGTTTACTTCCTTATTAGTACAGCAAGTATATAAAGAGGTGCTATCCACAGCACTACTGTGGGCAGACAGCAAATGCTGTCACTGCCTCCAAAATTGCAGTGAACTTGAGAACAAAGCACCTTTGGAGCCATTCAGCAATTTTCCTAATTAACACCAGTTAACACTGCAACAACATCAGAGATGTACAGATTGTCATGTAATTGTGTGAAATGATTCCTTTCTAGGCAGTTTATACACTGGTGTCTCTCTACAAGCAATACGCAAATCTTCTTGGGAAAATGAATTCAGAAGAGGTGGATGCAGTCTGGCAGGTGGTAATAGGAGCCAGAGTTGATGTAAGCAATCGTGTCCCTTCAGTCAGCAATCTGCATCTTAAAACTCTGCTCAGAAAGTTCTTGTCTCACTTGCTTACCTTTTCACAAAGGCACTGTTTGGAAAAGCATTCAGATACTGTTACATCTAGTTAAGTAATACTTTGTTTTACTCCTAGATGACAACAAAACAGCAGGAGTACCTAAGGCTGGAATCCAGCTGGATGACAGCGTTACGTCTTTCAGAGATGGCAGCAGAAGCTGCGTATCAATCAGGTAGGCACAAGCAGAAATAGGTAGTTTCTTTTCCCTAGCATTTAGGTAGTATTTATTGAATGAGAATGGAGTTGGGAGAAACACAGAATATACATTCAGTTAACATACCAATTTACAACTAGTGCCTGGTTTTTAGAGATGCTGAGAACTTACATTTTTTTATTGGCTACAGGTCTAGTAGAATTGTTCTGAGAACTAGGCCTGGAAACTTCACATGTGGTTTAGATCAAAACCAACCATGCAAAAAAATGTTTGAAGGAAGTGTTTAGTCATTTTAAATGCGTTCACTTTTAAAAGTGTTCAAACATGGTTCTGGGAGCCACAGAAATAAGGCTACCAATGGGGTCCAGCAGGTCTTTCTAGCTGGATTAACTTGTATTAAGGAGTGAGAATATTTGCCTTTCACTCAGGAAGTATACTAATTTTGGTCTTTTCTCCCTGTTTATACTCTTTCACAAAAAGCATAGAGACTTGATAGCTCTGAGATTGAGTTCTGGGCTGATTTATGGTAAATCAGCAAAGTTATTGGAGTGGAGAAGGGGAGGAAAGCGATGAATATACAGGGACACCCTAACTCTTAAGTGCCTGAAAAAGACACAGAATGTGTAGGAGCACAGGAGGAGTATGGGAGGAGAAGGGATTCTGAGTTCAGCAGTGCCACAGACATTCCCACTGCTGGTAGCTGACAGGACAGGACAAGGACTGAGAGTTCCTGGCACATGATGACTGGGCTGAGCTTAGTTCTCAAACCCACTAGCACAAGCTGATCACTCCGATCAGACACTGGCTGTAACCCACTTGGGTGGGAAGAATTCAAGGGGGCAAAGAAATTTCAAAGTAGGCATATTGTTGTTTAAGGTAAATGAGCAGTAAATGCATTTAGCATTAACATAGCCCAAGAGCCATCAAAACACTTAGCAAAGCAGATGATAATTATAGACAATCGTTTCCTTAATTGAAGGTTTGCCGAGTGCTCCTCTAACCCAATATATTTAAATTATTACTTTTCAGGTGCAGACCAAGCCTCAGTGACAGCCCGCAGCCACATTCAGCTAGTGAAATCACAGGTGCAAGAAGTGCGACAGCTGTCCCAGAAAGCAGAGACCAAATTAGCTGAAGCTCAAACAGAAGAGCTCATAAAAGCTCAAGGAGAGGAATCTTCATTGCCACAGGGTATTTTGGGAAGTACAGAGGCAGGTGAGGACCCTTACCTTCGGGAGGACTGAAAAGAACTTCAATGTCACCATAGAATATGTGAGAATCAATCACAAATTGAAAGGTCCCAAACTTTTAAGTGTGGGATAGTGGGAAACTGCTGCAATAAGCCTGTGACTCCATTTTTTAACCCAAACAGGATGGCTTTACAAATCAAGTCAATTCCAAGTATCTGAAAGGCCTTGATCTTGTTTGTAACTTATCTTGTTTGTAATACTTAATGGATTCAATTATTTCAATGTTTAACTATGCAAATGTGAAAATTGCTATCAAGGATAGCTTGTTGTTAATTGTCTCTCTGCTGGGAGGGTCCTACTGCTTGTTTGATATGTTTGTGAGAGCTCTCTAACTTGGAGACTAACTAGGTTATCAGCCAAAGAAGTGTAGTTAAAAGTCATTATTTTAAACCTGTGAAGTAAATGATGTCTGTTAAGAGATACCTTTATTAAACTGTGCAAAAGGATCTGTTGTGGGTGTGCCCATTTGGATAAGAGATTAAGCACTGTTTTCTATTCGAACTTAAAAGTTTGTAATAGAGCTGAGTGACAGCTGCATCAAATTACACTTAATTGCAATCAGGGGAAACATTTGCTGTAGAGCTGAAAACTTCTATGGAGTTACCCAGGGTGCTCTTAGTGAAGTTTTGCAGTTCAGTACAGCAGCCTCTTTGACCCAAGAGTCAGCGCTTGTAAGGCATCTGCCTTCCCCAGGAAGCAAAGGGAGATTTGATTTTCAAGATACTGTGGTTAGAAACAAAGTCATTGTGGCAACTGCTGCGTACTTGTTTACACAGCAGTAAGCAAAAGCAAGTTTTACATATTTGGATGCTTTCCAGTACAAGTTTCAGGAAAGTAATCTTAAGTCTCTCTTTTTCTAAGCCTAATGTTTCACTGCAGGCTTCAAAACCACAGGTGTGTTTCACTGTGTTTACTTTCTAACTTGACAGCTTAATGTGAAATTTGCAATATTAACTGTATAGACAACGTAAACTTAAGCTGAGACTGCTTTGTAGAATAGCATCCGCTAGAACTTTATCACTGCTGATTTGAGTCAGTTAATCCCTATTCATCAGGTTTTGTAAAACACACATTAATCATAGGTTTTTCACCACAAATTAGCATCTGATGCACTACATCTGTGTCGAGGTTGCTGTTACTAAATTGAGTTGTGGTTGACTAGGAATTTTTTCAGCTGTACTATAAGCCTTTCTGCCTGTGTCTCATTTTGCCTGCCTTTTGAACAAATGCCATCTCAGCTGCACAGCACTGTACATTTATAGATTAAGTAGTAAAAGAATTAACAAACCACCTTTCTTTGCTCCTGATCCTCACTGGGTGCTGCTGTATCCAAGGAGGATGGCACAGTCCAGAATTCAAGCTCACAGGAAGATGCCAGGGTCTGCTGTGCCTGTAGTCAGGAGGTGCTAACCACAGCTTTGGGCTGGAGCATGAGCAAAAAAACCCACTATCACGAGAGGATTATTTGCAGCAGTGGCACAACCACGCCCCTCAAGAGCCAAATGCAACTTCAGGTCAGCCTCTAACCACAACTGCTCTAATTTGTTACATGCTCCAGTGTAAGGACGTCTGCCAAGCCACTGACCCAAATGCACATACAGGTTGTGTTCCTTTCAGGATGCCATAATAACCCTAGTCTGATGCTTGCATGGCAGAGATGTGGCTTATGACAGATGAACACTGCTACAGGAGTCTGCAAAGCAACTCAGTCTTCCCCTTTCAGGGCCTGCTCCAGCCCCCTTGCTGCCCCACTTCTTGTTTCACTGTACACCCTGCTCCTACTTGCCAAGACGCAGGCAGTACCCACACACATCTAAACTTCAGATGTGACAGGAACAAAGTAGTCAGTTCAGTCGAGTCAGAATGGGAGCGAGGAGCGTGAGTGGCATATTGTCTCCAAAATAGGAGCCTGACACCTTGATTAGGAAGTGACAGTTGCCTGTCAGGGGTTAGCCCATACACCTAAGCCCACAACAGACATGACATCACACTCTACATTATGTTACTGAGTTTGCATTTGGAATCATCTAGTGGATCAGAAAAATGCTGCCACAGCAGTTCACGGGGTACCATGGTACCCGCTCTGTCCAGTCTCTTCTCTGGAACAACCAGCGGTGCCCAGAGAACAGTGCCCAGAAACTAGGTTTTGCTGCTGATACTCAGCCTTGTTTACAAAGCCAACATATCTGAAACTATATGCAGACCATTTCTCAGGTATAGCTAATACAGCTAATTAATCCCTGTTAGCACTGCAGTGAGATGATGCAGCAGCAGCTTATGCAAGACCACACTGAGGATGGACACACACAGGCTCGCCCCTTGCAAGAGCCCTTTTTTTCAGACAAACGCCTACTCGCATCTGCCACAGAAACAGCTCGCATGAGAGTGGCAGCTTCCTCCGTAAGAGTCTGGGTCACGCCATAGTGCTAAGCTAGAACTACACCAGGTGCTTTAGAAAGCCAAGGCAGCAAGTACTGCCAGGAGTCCATCAGCCTGAGGTCGTACAGCACTGCACCAGCCCACTGGAAGGTGGGGCAGCCAGCCTGCCCCAAGAGCTTGTCACACGTCTGGTCTTGGGATGTCCTCTGTCTCTCTATCAGCAGTACAAGTAAGGACGTCCTGGAAGCACTTCCCAGGCACCTCTGAAAGCTCCAGCTCACATCTGGTGGGTGTTGAACGCTGGGCAGCTGGCACTAGAGACAGCAGTGACAACAGCACAACATAAATTGCTGGTTTCTGTAATCACACACTTCCTCTCTACCCACTACCTTTTTCTAAAGCTACCAGCCTGCTTCCTGTTAGCACACAGCACAGCAGCTTCTGATCTAGCAGCAAGACGCCCTGAAGCTGATGAGCTTCACAAAAGTATCACCAAATCTTAGTTTCATATTTGATCTTCCCTCAAATTAGCAACTCCAGCACACTCATAGATTAATTGCTTCTGTATCAATACATCTTGTCTGGACAGGGGCAGAGAACAGCAGCAGCTCACAGCAAAGAAGTGGCAAGTATCCATTTCCACATAACCTTATCCTCTTTAATATCAAATGACTGCTTAATGCGAATGTCCAGCACCAGAGCTCAGCCTTCTCTGGCTTTTAGTGCTCTTAGCTTTCAGGAGACCCAAGAATACTCCTGTGAAAACACTTTTCAAAACTGTATTTTATTTATACCCAACATTACAACAACAATGACAAAAAAAACCCCAAACCCAAACACCTCCCACACAACATGAAAAGCTACAGCCACTCTAACTACCACTGTGACTATTCAAGACATATTGCTCTGCTCAAACCCAAACAGAAAGTGTTTGTGCAAAAGCTTCCAGTGCAAGTAAACCTGTAATAAACTTCTGTAAAATCCAAAAGGCTCAAGTCAGAGCCCAGTCCCTTGGATCATCATGCTGTGTTAAGGCAATATATTTTTGAGGCATTTTATTTTCTCCCCACTCCACTCTTTCTCCTGCTGTCTGGTAGGACCTGTGGGATTGCTGGATGGCCTGGAACAGTGGAGTTGCACTGCAGTGGACCCAGCAGCACACACTGGCCTTTCTCTTCCACCCCTTCCAAGTAATTTCAAGTGCTCTGTCACCCATTAGTCATCATCAGCTTTCCTACACGAGACTGAATTTGGCTGGCAGTCAGACACCAGCCTTGGTGTTGCAGAGCCTCCATAGCGGGTGGCCTGTCACCCACGTCCCTGTGGCAGTTGTGACTTCCTCTGGCTCCAGTCTGGCTAGGAGGAAGAGAGCCGGGTCCCCTGTGCTGTGTCTCACCGAGCTACCAGCCCCATCCCCACCCTATGGCAACTCAACTGTTTCAGTAACCCACGGACAGAAAAAGACTTACTGCAAAACAAACCCCTATGGCTCAAGTACAGACTGTTAGTAGAGGACACGTCTCTACCACAACCTGATTTTTAGTTTAAAAGTACCCTGTATCTGTCACCTGTCACAGTCCCAGTGTGTTCATCAGTAGCTTCTTTTCCAACCCCTTCTGTAGCTATGCATTACTGACACCGCACACCTAATGCTGTCATCCTTCACCAGCGTCCACATGATCCACATTTCGGTTGGGCTTAGTTTGTGCACAATCATCAGCTCTTTGTACAAGCATGGATCAAAAGGATTGAAAGGTCTCTGGATCCCGAAAGTCTTAAAGCCAGCGTGGTTCTTTGGGGTCACTGCCATCTTTGCCAGACACATTCCCACAAAGACATCATCTATTGGGAAGAGTTCCATGTCCTCTGCGGTGCTCTGAAGGCGGCGCACTGTCTCTCTAGACATCACATAGCCCCCTCCACCCGCATAGAGAGGATAGAAGGGGGCTTTGTACATGGACTCTGGAATAAAGTATTTGACCTTGGTGTTCCTGATGGGCCGGGCATTGGTGATCACATCCCCAACAAAGAGATCCTGTTCAGGGTCCAGTTCTTGGAGGAATTCAACAATGTTATAAGTATTGACAAAGACATCATCATCGCCCTTCAGCACAAACCTGGTATGCAGGCAGTCCTCCATGAACCAGCGGAGGAAATGCAGCTCCTTGAGGGTCAAGTTGAAGAAGTTGTCAACAAAATCCCACTGCAAGATATCATCAAACTCCTGGCTCTCGTAAGCCAGCAGCTGGTGCAGGGGCTGTACCTGCATTTTGGCCTCCAAGCGCCCTAGCAGGAATACCAGCCTGATGCGCTTGCCACCAATGGAGACCTCCTTCCCCCACGTGTTCCTGATTGCCACTCGCCGGTCTATGTTGATCGGGGAAGACTTGATCGCCAGCAAGAGGAACGTGTCTTTGCCACACCTGGAAGGCTTCAGCAGAACCATGAAGTTCCGGCAGTGCTTGTATGTTAAGAAAACACGGTGAAGCTCTGGGAGGGTGAGAGAAGAATTGGCAAGGGTCAAGTTTGGCAAACATTTGCTGGGTTCAGCATTGTCCAGAACGAAAGACTGTGGTTTGCGATGCACTACATCCACTTTCTCGTCTGCCGACGACGCTGCCAACTTTGCCTCTTTCTTCATGTAAAAAACCCACGCCAGCAGCATGATTGAAAAGGCATAAAGTGCGAGATTTTTAATCCTAGGATACATGGCAATCTCCAGTGCAGAACCCAGGCCCTGCGCGGTCAGAGGAAGACAAGCCGTTTATGACTTAGACCTGCATACTTACACTTTCCACTTGCGCTCGCACCACTCCCACGCCCGCCGTCGCGCAGGGACGGAGTGCACTACCCAGCCCCGGGGAACCACCGGGACGGCTCTCGGCGTTTTCCCTCGCCGTTGGGTTTTTTTTGGGTCCCACCGAGACCGGGTGCTGCCGGCGAGGACGAGAACCACTGTGCCGGGGGCGGCGGCCGTTCGCCCCCGGGAGGGCTCGGGAGCCCGCGGGGACCCGCACCG